TCACCATCCTCCGGAAGGAGCAGACCTGCACATCCGGCGCCCCTAGCCCGTTCTGCCTCGTCACCCGCCTCCCAGGTTGGGACCTGCTGATATCGGTCGGCGCTCTTGCGCCAGATGCAGTTATACAAATATACGTGCATTCGCTTAACGTCTGATCAGGTAGCGTTGTACACCCACAAGTAGCGTTGCACTCGCTCAGAGGATGATGTAATCGCATAGGTTGGATAGCTTAGTCGCAGGCGGCCCAACTAACCTAGCGCGCATCTTGGACGCATTCTGCACTTCGGCTACTTGTAACTTCTGACGCTGCCGATATTTATCGGACTTACCATCTAACTTACGTACGACTTATCTTACTTATGGGACTTACTATGTAGCCCCGAAAATGCTCAGCGGGGGTTGCCTCGCCCCCACATTCCAATCTCCCGTCGTCGTCGTCGTCGTCCTCGTCGTCGTCCTCGTCCTCGTCGTCGTCGTCGTCCTCGTCGTCGTCGTCGTCGTTTTCGTCGTCGGTTTCGGAGCCGCCGCTTCTGGTCGTCGGCGTCGTCGTCGTCGTCGCTTTGTTTCAGCGGAAGCGCCGCTTCTGGTCGTCGGCGTTCGCTTCAGCGGAAGCGCCGCTGACCTGGTCGTCGTCGTCGTCGTCGTCGCGCTCGTCGTTCGCATCCCCGCTTGACGCTTCCAAGGCTCGGGCTGGGGAGGGGGGGAGGAGGAGGTGGAGGAGGGGGGCAAGGAAGGAGGAGGAGGGGGAGGAAGAGGTGGAGGACACGCTCAACGAGAAGGAGGAGGAGGAGGAGGAGGACGAGGAGGTAAATTCTGAGCGTGTACCTCTGCTCGAGCACCTGCGCTTCGCGCTCGAGGTCCTAGAAGTGGCCCGCGTATTCGCGCGGCCTCGCGGCGCAGCGAACGCTGCAGCGATGCGCTCAGCGCGACGTGTGCAGGGCCCGCCCGCGGCCGTCGTCCCACGGGTCCTCCGCGTCGAGCCGGCCCGCCTGGTCGTCCCGCGCGCGAGACTGCGCCCACGACTGAGCCTCCCACCTGTACTTCTTCTTCGGCACCATGCGGATCGACCTGCCCTTGTAGTCATGGCCGTGCCACTCCTCGCCGTTCTTGAACAGCGCCGTGGTCTTGAGCGGAACGTCCGTGAGCTTGGGGCCGCCGCCCTGGCTCGCGCCGCTGAGGCAATTGAACCGCACGACCATCATGTTGTTCGGCCCGTAGCCCACGTAGCCGTGCCAGTCTGTCAAGTTCGAGCGAGACGTGTACATGACGTAGTTGTGCTGATCGTCGATGTGCATCAGAGTCTCCCGATGCGGCGACGTGTCTGGCAATGACTCGTTGCTGTAGTCGTGCACCGTCATGGTGCGCCGCGTGAACTCTGGCAGCGGCACCGCCATGGCGACAGCTGGGGAGCCCACTGCAGGACAATTCACAAACAGAAAGCGGCGGTCCCGCTGCTTGAGCCCGCACTTGGCTACGGATGTATCCCTGTACATAGGGGCACGCCCGCCAACAGCTCAATGGTCAGAGGATGATGGTGGGAGGAAGGAGGAGGGGAAAGAGGAGGAGGAAGGAGAGCGTTCGTTTCAGCGGAAGCGCCGCATACCTGGCCGTCGTCGTCGTCGTTTTCGTCGTTCGCATCCCCGTTCGATGTTTTCAAGGCATCTATATACACATAAATTGGCAAGGCCGTGCGCTCTTTAAACCAGCACCACATAGGCGCCCCCATCGCGGTGCCACGCGTGGGCCGCGTGGGCATCGCGCATGCCAACTGCCATCAACTCCCGCGAAAACGAAAACCATCTGCTTGAGCGGGCGCGCCTGCCAGTGGGCAGCAATTTCCTGACGACAACGTACAGCGCCCCACGTTCACAGACGCAGGCCGACACGAGGCCAGCACCATCCCCGACCAAAACCACTTCGTGAACGTGCAACTCGCGACCATCCTCCCAGGCGCCATGACCCAACTCCACATTTGGATAGCCTGGCAATTCCTTTCTAGACCCGCGAAGGCCCTCGCGGAGGGATTGCACACCACCGGTCAAATCATTGTGGTGCCTCGTCAGCAAGTTCGAGAGGACAGAGTACTCGTACCGCTCTGTGTTCCTGACGCTGTTCTCTGCGGACTGCTTGACGCGAATATTTAAGCGCTCAACGACGAACATGTCGACTATAAACTTGTCTTTCCAAATTTGATCTGGAATATGCATCGTGGCGTGGTGTTCCGGAAGTAAATACCTCTTGTCGTATGCGGCTGCATGCCTATCCATGTGTATACGAAGAGCGGCCCTGAGCTCATTGAGAATGGCTGCGAGCCCAGTCTGCGGGGCCCTCTTAGCCTCGAGGACGAGGTCCAAGACAGCACATGCTGCGCTGAAAGACTCGCTCTCCCTCTCAAGGCCAGGGGTGTCGAGCAGTCTGCAATCGACAAAATGCCGCATGATAACATACAACGATATGTAGTCACCTGCCTTGCACCGAATCTTCGACTCCTCCTCGGAGGATGCGGAAAATGCGTCGTAGACTTGGCTGATATTGACGCCCATTGATAAGGGGAATGTCCAATCAGCCTTCACCAACTCACCCCACATCTCGAACGTAATTCCCAGCTTGCTCTCTCACGCCCTCACGTAAGCCGTGCACTCCCAAGAAAATGCGCCATGTTGTAGATAGTGGTGCACCCAGTCTGTGCCGATGATGTCAGATATGTCGAGGATGCCGCACAGAGCCTCATCTGCTAGAAGGCCCAGTGGGTTTTGGTTGAAGCCGACGCCCTGAATGAGCTCCTTCAAATCCCCAACGCCCATGGCCCCAGCGTCACGTCTCGCTTTCGCCGCCAAAACGACAGCCATATTTGCAACCGTGTCCTCGTGATCACGCAACCGAAATTTCGAGAAATCTGAACAAGATATATCGCAGCACCCTGGAATGAGATGTGAATCCTTCTTCCAACAATTGCAGCACAAAATGCATGGCTTGTGGGGGCTTGCGCCTGTCCAGTCGAACGTCATCCTGTGGCCGTCGAGGTCGGTTAAAACACCTTTCACCGTTGCGAACAGCAGGCGCGTTTGGCCGAGCACATTCAACGCCGCGCCCGCGTCTCTGAAAGACAGGGGGCCAAGCAGGATCCCACGCAGAAGTGTTGCGAAAAATCTGGACCACTTGCCCTCGACCTTGCCTATGATGTGATCCCGAATCACAGCGAAGGTCATCCAGGTTGCCTCGTGGCTCAAAACTGATCCCCCGAGCTCTAGAACATTGAAAGAAACAACCATGGTGTTTCGTTTGTTTTCGGCTTTTTTTTTGTCGCCAACCGTGTACTCGTCTAAGCCGATGACCACGCTCCAAGGTCTGTCATTCGAGCACGGGCGCCTCGAGAAAGCATTCGAGAAACACGTCTGCAACTCGCCCGAAGCAGCCGCCATCTCCTGGAGAACGAGCGCGGGCTGGCAAACCTCCCATCGCCATGGTTCGCCAGTTGTCGAACGCAGATCGGCGTCGAACCTCGCCCTCTCGAACAACTCGTGGTTTATAGCGCGAAGCCTCTTATCGCCGACAGGCTCGCAACCGAATTTCGCGGCAATCCGCAATAACCCATCCAGCGATATCCCGCCCGTGTGCAGCGCGGACTGCAGTCTCAAACGCTTCTGCGCTGCGTCGTGGGCCATGGAGCGGGAAATGCCGCTGCTGCGGATGGGGGAGAGGGGGGGGGCATGCCAATTGGGGGGGGGGGGGGGGGGGCGGGCGAGCGGGGATATGCCATAGAGAGGGGGGACATGCCAATTTGGGGGGAGGACAGAGGATATGCGCACCCATGTGATTCAGTCGGCCCCACCAGCCCTGGGCGTAGGCGGCCTAGATCGCTTCCTCTCCCGACCCCCGTTCCCGGGGCGGGCGGGCGGGCGGG